ATCTTGGCACCAAATAGCTTCTTGTTTGCTTGTCATGTGATTGCATGCAATGGGGCTTTATGTGTGAAGTGTGTGCTACTTTGAAAACATTTGAAATATCCTTAACAAAATGCTCAAAATTGTCTTTTTCTTCCTTTTTTTTTTTTTTCCTTAATGCAACAGAAAATGTCCCAAAAACAATAGAGGACGTCGACAGAAGCAAAACCTAGGTCATTTTACTTCAGATACTTCATCCAGAATGGTTTAAATTTATGACTTTTATATGTACACTGACCATGTGATGTACACTTATTATGTCTTTTTTTAAAGAATGGGAATATTTATTTCAGAGGCCTTATTTTTGGACATTTTTAGTGTAGTACTGTTGGCCTGTATTTAGAATATTCAGCTACAACAGTTTTGGACTGTTTAGAAGTCTTTGTTTTATGTTTTTAAATGCAGAAATTGATTTAACGAATTTGTACCACATGGTAATTCCAAGACTAGTTCTTTACCCATGGAATGTAATATTTTTGCAAAAATGGACCCACTTCACAAATGGTTATAAAGTCATACTCACTTCTTCTACAATAACCACAGCAAATGACCAAGCATGAACTAAAATTAAAGATGTTTACAGATTACTTTTCTTACAAAAAAAAAATTCTAGAAGACACTGTGTTTAAATAGATATTTAAATGTTTTTGAGATTTAGTACCTGATTTTTTTAGACACTGCCTACCGCATGAACTGTAAAGCTGTGTGTGTTAGATGTGAAATATTTATAAGATGTATGGACTGGAATTTGCTTATTCCTCTCTTTGAAAAAATAATTCTCATAATTTGAAAAAGTACCTGGTAGTAATGATGCGACAGATCACTGAAAAGTAGATTTAGGTGTTGTTAAAATAGGCTTTTAACAAACAGATTGGAATAAAGCCTACACTGTCAGTGAAACTACTTTAATACACATTCATTTTTAAACAAAATATTTGTTTTAACATGCATAAACAAATTGTACCAGTGTTTGTAAATACAATACAAAAATGATTGTTACTGATTGGTGCTCTTAAAGTGAGCTTAAAAATGACCTAAGACCTCTATCCAAATTTGTCCTGTAGTCATAGCTATATTAGTAGATTGTTGGTGTTTAAAGGTCTGAAGTGTGAGTAGACTGTATTGAGCTGTTTAATGTGTAGTTTAGATACTCAAAAATATGCATGTAGAATTTAAAGAATAATGATTGAAATTAAATATTAATTTTAATATTTGGTTTGGAAAAGCATGTCATAATATAATGTTTTCACTATATGGCCTCTTTCGGTGTGTTTATTTACAGTATTCTTTGATACTGATATATCAAGTGTATAAAATAGGTAAAGTTAGTAGGAAAAGCAGATTTCAGTTCATAAAACCCCTTTGGTTTTACAAATACTGCTTGAAATTATCTAAAGACAAAAGCTTCAGCCAGTATTTGGAATTTGCTTTATTACTTGGCTTCAAGGCTTAATATTAGTAACATGGTGGCTTTAGTGAACTTTTTAAAAAAGCCTTCCTCTTCTACCCACACAGTCCTATTTGAGTCCCTTAGTCAGTCAGCAAGCATGTTTGGAACAGTCCCAGGTCCTTTGCAAGGGCTCATATTGCAGAACAGTCACGTATGGGTATTTGTCGTTATAAATACTTGACCGTTCTCCAGGGGTGGGGTTTCCAGCCCTTTCAGCAATTCCGTTGCCTGTTATTGAGCTGGCTTTGTGCTCCAGGTGTCCCAATTGATTGCAGTAGGACATCTTTCACTAAGAAATAAATAAAATGGAACAGAATGGGTCTGCTTCAAATGCTGATAAAATCCCCCAGAATCGCCTGTCGAGTATTACCGAGGATGAAGACCAAGATGCTGCTCTTACCATTGTCACTGTGCTGGACAAGGTAGCCACCATTGTGGACACTGTGCAGGCAAGCCAGAAGAGAATAGAAGAGAGACACAGGGAGATGGAAAATGCCATAAAATCTGTTCAGATTGACCTGTTGAAGCTTTCACAGTCACATAGCAATACAGGCTATGTCATTAACAAGCTGTTTGAGAAAACACGAAAAGTCAGTGCTCACATTAAAGATGTGAAGGCCCGGGTGGAGAAGCAGCAAGTTCATGTGACAAAAGTTGAAACCAAGCAAGAGGAAATAATGAAGAAAAATAAATTCCGTGTGGTGATATTCCAGGTAAGCTTGCACTTGTGTTCAGTTTGATTTCTGTTATCTCTTATATTCTTTAATTGTCAACAGGTCATATCAGAGGTTTCCAGTGTCACATCTTAGCCATTGTATATATTAATGTGGTAGAGTTCTGTATTAGAAGGGACCTCAGAACAAAACCATTTCTATGTTAACTAGTGCACTATCTTTCATATCAGTATTTTGAGCTCTCAACCATTTCATGTAATGTGAACTGTGTGGCTCATAGCTTAGGCTATTTCTTCCCTTTGAAATTTAATATTGCTGAAGCTCTTTTAGTATATTAGCCTTATTAGCATGATACCCTCTTGTAGTCTTTGAGAATGTTAGAATTAGAGACCACCTAAGAGATCTCGAGTTTAAAACACCTCCTTGTTGCAAAAAAGAAGAAACTGGAAGGGATGCTTGTCTAGCATGTCCAAGGCTCTGGGTTTGATCAGCTGCACAATAAAAAAATGAAGAAGAAACTGGAGTTCAGTACCCCAACAATAATCTTTTTTCTCATCATGGAGAGTCTACAAAGCCCAAAATACAAACTTTTCAGAATATATACTTGTCTATGGGAATTTTTACATTTGTCATAATAAGAAACAATATCTATTTCCTAACAATCAAGTAATCATTTTTACATTGTTATTATAATACCAAAGATACAGAAGTCACATAAACTACTATTTATCTGATTGCAAAGTCTCTTTACTTAGCTTATTAATATAATAATATATTGAGCTAAGTTCCTAGAATCCTGCTCAGCACTCAAAATTTTTGAAATAGGAGCATATTCATGGCAAATGCATAATGTGTACAATATATTTTTAAAACTCTTACAAATGAAAAGGAAAAGTTGGAACTCTCTTCCTACAGTTTAAAACAAAAACCAGGAAAGTCATTATCTGGCAGCTCACAAAGGATGAAATAAGAAAGAACAGAATTCATCTTTCACATATTTAAACACTGGCAGTTACTAAAACATATGCTCAGTTTAAGTGTAGGAGAAAACAACCAGTTTCATGTTCTGCTGGCAGGAGTATTAATTGGTGCAACATTTTTTGAGAGCAATTCTGTGATGTATATTAAAAACTTTAAAAGTACCCAAGCCTTTAACTCCAAAATTTCATGTCAAAGAATTTTTTCTAAGCATGACATCAGAAATATGTGCAGGAATGTTCACCGGTACATATTAAAACTATATTTTTAAGATGGATGCCTGTGTGCATAGGGGAAAAACCATAGAAGAATAAAAACAAAATGATATAGGAAGACAGTTGGATTACATTTGCAAACTACTAGGGAGGTGGCCTATAACTCTGCACAGTATTCTCTATGCGTTGGTCAATTCTCCATAGCCCTC